TTTGGATAATAATTTAAAAGTTCCTGAAAATTGATTTGAATATACTTTTTAAAAGTTTTAGGATTTCAATAAATATTTAAATTCTTTGAAAGATTATTAATACAATTCTTAAATATTATATCTTCTAATCTTTTCTTTGATTTATAATTCCAACTTTCTTGATATTAATTAATTATTTAGATTTTGTTATTTAACAATTTACTCTATTAATATCATCCTTATTAATAATCTAAACGATCTATTCATTTTTTTTATATTCAAAATCAACTCTTTTTATAAAAAGATAAGATATATTAAGTAATAATAGATCCTTGATATTGTTCAATACAAATATATCGATAATATTCTTAATTCTATTGAAATTGATTTCGATATCTTTAATTAAATCATATAAAATAATAACACTTTTATTTAAAGTTATTATTATAATATTATACTCTTATATTATAAAGTCTAAATCTTTTGCAATTTTCAAACTTATTATATTAATTATCGATTCAAAATCAATAATACTAATGATTTTAATCTTTCTTTTAACAAATGAGATAATAATTATTAGTATATTGTATATCTCCCTTGAATAAAAATTTGATTTATCTATCAGATTATTGATATTGATTATAATAATAAAGATTTATTTGATAAAGATTATATTCATATTATTTATATTGAGATTGATAAACATCGATGATATTTATCTTATAAGATTGATTGCCTTTTTCTCAATTTCTCTTCGTTTTTCATATTCTTCAATAGGAATTTGTTTGATCATTTCTTTAATTAATTCTAAACAATAAATATATAAATTATCGATGAATATAAAGATTTCGATATAAACAATATATTTTAATAAATCCATTATTGTTTTTGTAGTATATATCGAAATAAATAATTGCTTTTTGATTCTCGAAGTTTTATTATAAAAAGGATCGGATTTCTTTTATAATCTCTTTTTTATTTGATTTGGGTAATCCTTCCCCTCTTTCATCTTTGTTTTTAAGATTTTCTTCAATATCTATTTCATTATCTTATCTTTAAAAGTTCTCTTTCAATTCTATTTTTTCAATTAATAATATCGACCTTTGTAAGATTTGTAATACAAAAATAATAGGTTTTGATGATTTTTCAACTTCATTTTATCCTACTGTTTTTGTTTATTTAAAAGATCGATTATATAATCTAATTGTTTCTTTTGATTAAAAAACTATATTGATATTAATTAATTATTCCCCTTTATATATAAAGTTATTAATAAATATATCTTTGATGATATCGATACTCGAAATATTAATTTTCAAAGATCCTTAGTTGCTTGGTGATCCTATATCATTTTATCGAAACTCGATATTGTTATATATTCTGAATTGTATTATAATTTGTTACTTTTTAAAGTAAAATTTGTTTCTAAAAATCAAAGATATATTGAGGCTTTTTTTTGATCCAAATTTGAAGGTTTTATAATTATTATAATAATACAATTTATTTTAAATATCTTTATATATAATAAAACAATTTTGTTTAATATTATAATTATTATTATAAAAAGTTTATTTAAAATAATAAAAGTAATATCAATCTTTTTTATTAATAATATTTATATCTATATAAATAAAGTTATAGTTTTCTTGAATTAAGAATTCATTATATTTAATATTCTCTTCTTTTTGAAATATTTATTATTAAAAGAAGATATAAATATTCCTTGTATTTCTAATACTTTCAATTCAAGCTTATAAATGATTCATATTTAATTTATTCAGAAGTTTTGTTATCTTATTTACTAACTCGTTTTCAATTCTTTTTTGAACATCGAAATTTGAAATAGCTTTTTTAGAAAATAATATCTTTATATATTCTTTTACAACAAATATAACTATAACTTGATATTGTTTAAACTTTTTGTAAATCTTGATAATAGAATCTTCCGATATATATTATTTGAAGGTTTCATCTATTATTTTCTTGTAATTCATAATAATAAAATTGTCAAGATCAACTTTAAAGCTTTTAACAATCTTTTTGCTAATTTGTATATATAAACTATATAAAAAAAATCTTTTTGTTTCAAATTCGATGATTATTCTATTTTCAATAAATTAATTTGTAAAAAAAGCAAATTTAACAATATAATCTTTAATTAAGATTAAATTTGTATTATAAAATATCTTATATTTGGATTGTTGAATATCAACAAATTAATTCAAGAAATTATAAATATTAGTAATTTATTGAATATCGAAATTATGAAAGCAATGAAAAAGAGTTAAATAGAATCCCTTTTTCCAATTGTAATTAATAAGATTATATTTCGATATAAGTTTTATTTGGATCGAAATAATCTTATTATAATATTAAGAAAGATAAATTTATATTTCGTTATTAGATATATTATAATCAATTTATAGAACCTTTTATATTATAAAGAAATTAAAGATATTGTTTTTATTGAAGATAAAAGTATTAGAGTTTTCTGTATAGGATATAATAAAATATATATATATATGATCTATAATATTTCGATCTAATATATAGGTTCCTGTTGATTGATTTATATCATTATTGTTTTTGGCTTTCTTAGTTTTCCTTTTTCTAAGATCATTTTCACCTTTTCTGATATGATCTTTTTTTAAATTAGCAAGAGATTCCTTATTGAAATTATAAAAAACAGATACTTTCGAAGACTTTTGAGAGGTATTTTTTAAACAGATTTTAGATTGATCAGGGTTTTCTATAATAACAGAATAATAATGAATTTTGAATAATAATAGATTTGATTTATATAATTGTTGAATCAAAGAATATATATCAAGTATATCTAAATCTAAATCAATCTTAGATTCTCGATAATCTTCATTACTTATATTTTTCTTTTTGTAAGATTCAGAAAAGATAAAGGAATTTTTAAATAATTCTTTCAAAAATATCCTTTTTTATAAAAGGATTATATAGAATCTAAATTCTTTATCTAAAAGTTTTTTAAAATATATCCCAAATTTTTGAATATCGATATCAGGGATAACAATTCTATATATTACAATTTAATCTTTCTAAATACTATCTTATAAACAAATAATGAGATACTTTATTCAATTATAAGATGTATAAGATCTTTTAATCCGATTAATTATACTCTATCAAGTTTATTTCAAAATCAAATCTTTTCTACTTTTGTAAATTATTAAGATCTAATTTTGAGTAAAACTTTGTCGATACAAATCTTCTATATAAAATACAAATAAATAAATCGATAATAAATCATTTATCTATAATATAATGAATTAACAAGAATAAGAATGATTAGAAATCCAAACCTCTTTTATTCTTTGTTTGATGTTTTTACTTTTGAAAGGTTTATTTTTTTAGAATCTATTCTATCCTTTTATCAATAAATAGTTAATTCTACTTTCTTTTTTAATATAATATTCTTACAGATTGGTTTTGTACATTTTGCAAACAATATAACTCAATTTTTCTATATAGATCATCATTGTAAAAGTAATAGATCGAAATATATATATCTCGATAGTATATTATAAGAAGGGAATTGAAAGAGAAAGCTGAATTAAATTATATTGTAATATATCATTTATAAAGAAAATAGGATTCATAATAGTTTTGGAGTTGGTATTATATAAATTCAAATATATATATATAAAAGGTTGATTATTATGAAAAGAAGAGACAAAAGGCTCTTCTTTTATATCTAATTATAGAAGATCATGTGATTGACTAGTTAAAACCTTTATGTATTTGGCCTATAATTCCAACTTTCTCACAATATCATCATTGATAACTTTAAAGAAAAAGACGGGGCATCGAGCAAAATAGGGTAGAGGAGATTTAATTTGTAGTTTCGACGCGGTGAGATGAAAGATAGAATGGAAAGAGGAATTGGAGACTCCGACTCAGCACGACGATTCTTCAATTTCGTAGACAAAAAGTTTAAGATTGTGGAAAATTTCTTATTTGCTTATTAACGAATAGAAGAGATTATCCCCTGATTTCAAAATTTGATAGTGAAAAACGATATTAACTTCGAAAGGTACTTACTTGGTAAACTAATTATGGGTCTAGCGTTCTTTTCTCGCTTCGATAAAGGAGGTTCAGTATTCTTACACACGGAGCAGAGTTATTATTGTGAGTCATATGTATATGAATTTGTTGGTATCACTTTGGGTGATACTATTCACATAGTGTTATTATGGATTTAATGGTTATTCAGTCTTGATCATTATATCTATTCTAGAAAGGTATTTGTTTATATTCAAGAGGTGTATTACGGTTCCACCATAGTACGGTTCTATATGAGGCTAATCATGTGACCGTTCTTACAGAATAAAAGATGAAATAAGATTTCAGATATAAATGCTGGATTTTCTTTAGTGGTATTTAGGTTTTTGGGGTCAACGTTGTATGGATTCCGAAATGAATATGCTGGTGAGGAACTTTTGAGGAGATTTGTTCCTTTTTAATTTTATATAAAACAAATAAGTCTAATACTTTACTTTTCGGCCACCTTTAATCTCAGCCATCCTTTTCTATCAAAAATCATGATTTTCATCTATTAATCACTTTACAATCAATCAATAGAATTTAATAAATTTGAATCATAGATTTATTATATAGTTATTAATGAATTTTAAAAATTTCGGGTTTTTTTTAATTGATTTCGTTGAGATTTGAAAGGTTAAATTTTTTAATTTTTAATTTGTATAGAATTTATATAAAAGTTCTGGAATCTACTCACCGCATACTAAGCGAAATCATACCAAAATCAACGATTTTTTCAACTTTTTAAATCCTTGTTATCTTTATAAAATAATAATAAAAAATATTTGAACAATATCTGGTCATTACGATGAAAAATGAATTGTATTTATATTATAGTCGTCGTTTAAGAGTTGACGCTAGTCCTGATTAAAAGCTAATCCTCAGCCTTAACCTTAAATGCCGGTGTACCTAGATTGGAATGCGGGGTCGATCACCGTTCGAGTCATACATGACGACACCTTCCATAATAAAGATATATACTCGAGTTATTGAAGGAAAAGTAAAAGCACATAAAACAACTTTATTATTCTCCAAACATCCAATCTTCACTTCACTTAATCTAGAACAAAATCCTCATTCAATTCAATTTCCCATACAATTATAGCAATCATAAGACTTACAAAGTAACAAAATGAGTAACAACGGACCAATATTCTTTTGGCACCCACATGGTGCAGATTATCCATGGTTATCTCAACATCACATATGTGAGTTCACGGATGAAAATGGTCAAAAATTCACAAGTACCGAACAGTTTGTTTCTCTTCTTCCAAAGTATTCTTCACTCATAACTCACAACTTCATCCAGATATATGATGTACCACAAAGCACTCCATTTCAACGACATCCCAATGTCCCAAGAAATACTCAACACGACCAATCCCCCCAAAATCAAATCTCTGGGCCGCCAAGTCAAGAATTTCAATAGTCAGAAATGGGATCAAGTGAAATTCCAAATCGTGACTCAAGGGAACGTATTGAAGTTTTCGAGAGGAGGAAAAGAGTTAAGAGAGCAGCTTGAGAAGACAGGGATAGGGTGGTAGAAGCGAGTCCTTATGATAAGATTTGGGGGTGAAGTCAAAGATGGGGAATGGAGGAAGGAGGGGAGAAAGGAGGGGAGGAGGAGAAGGAAGAGTGAAAAGAAGTGAGAGAGGATGAAAGGGCAGAGTGAAAGAGAGGAGAAACAGACATCATGAGGTGACGTTGTAAGTATTGTAAGAAGGCTTCACAAATCTTCTTAATATCCTGACTTGACAGTCTTATCATACAAGATATTACTTTTGCAATTCAATGGGAAGATGGTATTCTTCGTAGTAGCGTATTAATTCTAAGAATTTCTCATCTCAAACTTCACTTCCATTATGCATCATTCCCCTACCCATCTAAACTTCACTTCTATTATGTACCATTCCACTTCCATCTAAACTTCACTTTTATCATGCATCATTCCATTACCATCCAGTGTCATCCAAGGCCACAAGGCCCAAACTCGAACGGTACCTGTTTTCTACCTAATTTGATTCTTTTAAAAGTCAACTATTCCCATCTTGTCGCGCTTCTCCTTCTTTTCCTCAACAACAAAAACAAAAACAATAAACAAAAGCAAAAACAATCAACCCAAAAAAAAAAGAAAAATGGCAACCCACGATTTACTAACCAATCCCCTCGCCGTTCGCAATCCAAACCCTTTAAATCTAATCCCCTACTCCGTAGCTACAGGCATCTACTCCCCAGAAGGAAAAGACGTCTACATAACCCACGCCAACATCCGTCCGAGCACCCACGTCCCAGGAATCCCCTCCCCATACAGCCAAGAGCAACTGGAGCGACGCGCACTATACATCAGTGGAATCCCCCCCGAATGGCAAACCCCCGCTTTCCGACGCATCTTCCAAATCTACGGAACGGTGGAAAAATGTCCTATTATCTTCGATCTGGCTTCGCAGTCTACCTTTCGCTTTGTGGTTATGCAGACGAGGGAGGAGTGTCTTCGGGCGAGGGATTCAGTGCATGGATTTGTGTTGGAGAGACATATGATTTTTACGGCTGAGGCGTTGCCGTCGAGCTCGTTGCTGAGTCTTTATTCTTTGGGTTTGGATACTTTGGGTTTGAGTACGTCGGATGCGCAAATTGATAATCGAGAAGATCGAAAAGATGAAGATGAAGGTGAAATTGAACTCGGAGATTTGGATATCAATCAGCAGAATGTCGGAATTAACGGACCATATATATATGGTAGTGGAATACTCGATCAAACACCAATTACACATCGTCATCCATCTCCTCCTCAAATCAAATTACCCACCGTCTCTGTTCAAGGAGCCGAAACAGAAAATGAATCTCAACCTCCAACTCGCAAACACAGACCCACACCCTTAAATCTAACAGGTCTAACCAACAAACCCAATCGACGGATTTCCCCCCTCTTACCCCCTCAATCCCCCTTCCCAACCCAAACAAACTTTCCCTCTATCCCCGAAACCGACGAAGACCCCCATTCAAATACCCTCACTAACACCACAACCACATCCCCAACCCACACCCCCACTCCAAGCCAACACCTGGGCCAATCGTCAGCTCCGCCACCCCCTCCCACCAAACCATCGATCTACACCCCTCAACCCCCCGCTCCGGCCGCCGCCTCACAAGCATCGGACGAATCCCCACTCTCCCCACCCTAAAACCCATGATCCACGAACCCCTCTCCCAACAAGCCCGCGTGGTCCTCATCCTCAACATTCCGCACACGCTAACCCTCTCCGACATCAGCAACGCCGTGCGCGAAGGACCCGTCGTTTGTATCCGCTTCGGAATCGACAGCGACACCTCCCTCCGCTTCTCGGGCATCGTATTCCAACACGCGCAAGACGCGCAAACGTTCTACGACATCCTACGCGGGGAGCACTCAGATCGTACAGCGAGTCGATTTCGCTTTTTAGCCAACGCGGTAAAAGGTGATCCGTTCCCGATAAACGAAGATATAATCGCAATGGGCGCACCCATGTACGCATCACGACGCTTAACGATTGTGAAAAAAGCATTTTTTTTCGCCTTTACAGGAAAAAATTTACAGACGCTTTGTGAGCGGGAAGTTGGGAGGGAGAATGTTCAGTTGGTTTTTGTGTATAATGGGGGGAATGCGACGGTTGTGTTTGCGGAGGTGAGGGCGGCGATTAGGATGAAGGATAGACTTGAGAGGTTGAGGGAGGGGGCGGGGAATGGCTCGACTTGCTCGATTTATGAGGGTTTGCAGGTTTCGTTTTCGAAGGATCCGTGTGAGTTGGAGGGGGGGTTGAATTTGCAGGCTGCGGATGGGTATCATGCTTGAATTGAGTGTGGGTGGGTGGATGATGAGAGGAGAGTTGTTTTTGGAGCGAGAGGAAGTGGTGGTGGTTTGGGAAAAAAGACTTTCGATTGGAAGGTTTGTCTTGCTAAATGGCTGTTTTCTTTGGCTCGTTACTTGATTCCACTTGGATCTTCTCAGCTGCTCATGGTCGTTGGATCCCTTACATTCAATTATCTCCTTTTGTTTCTCAAAGACGGACTATTTGATTATCGCGATGTACTCGACTCGTCTAAGCGTTCTGGTTTCTTGTTTTGTATTTTGCGACCATACTATGGATATGGATATTGATATGGATCTTTCGATACAAAGATCTCGAGCACCATGGTGGACATCTCATTCTGCTTCTGTTTAATCCATACTCCAACCACTTTCAGGCATTTGAAACCTGCTATAATTACTGCGGATCACCTTCCGTGGCACCATTAATTAGTTTTCTTTACCAATGAAAGATTATTCAACTCCCAATCAAACGCCTATTGCCTATTGCCTATTGCCTATTGCCTATTGCCTATTGCCTATTGCCTATTGCCTATCGATGCAATATCCAATCCCAATAATACAAAAGTACAATAATTACACAAACACCTCCCGTGATAATTTATCCAAATACCTTTCGCCAAAAAGACACAGAGTGTCTCTTCCCATATACATGATTTATACAAGCATCCTCATGATCAAATCTTTCCGACCCACTATGTCTCTGACCACTTCCCCAAACATTAATAGGTAATACACCCAAACCCCTCAAATCCCTATTCACATCCCTCCCATCTTTAAAATCCTTAGCCGAGAACCAATACGGGTTTCCAAGCGAACGAAATTTCTTCCACGTAACTCTTCGTTCAAGTCCCGCATCCATATCTCGCACACGATGTACATCTTTCAAATTCTCGCTCAACATCTCCAATACGATATCTGTTAACATAGCCCCTCCACACACCTCCCCTGATTCTTTCGCATCAACCTTTTCCCCGAAAAGTCCCGTAGAAGAATGCGAAATACATCTCACAATCGCCTTCCTCAGTAACGGATCAAAACGTCCCGGTGCCCACATAGCATAAGTAGCAAAACCGAATGTTCTCGACCAGCCCCATTTCTCCCTAACATGAGACGCCATATACGGTTCATCGATATCGATACCGAGCACTAAACTTATGGGACTAGATCGTTCCCTCTGTTCTACATATCGACCTGTTGAATTTGGATAATTTCGAGGAAGACCCAGGGAAGGATGTTCAATGATGTCGAGATCAAAACATTCATCTATAGCAACTTGAGGCCAAATATCCGGCTCGAGATAGAAACCCCCATGATACCAAAGTAACAACCAGCGAAAAAGATCAATTTCGAGTTCTGGGTGCGCGGAAAGCGTCTCTGCGATTACAGGTATGGAACGAAAATACGGGAGGATATCCGGACCAGGCGATGAAGTATATTGTTTAATTTCCCACTCTGGATTAATAGCTGTCCATCTCTGTGTCCATTCTTCCCAACTAGGAGCTTCGAGGTCTGAAGTAATTTGCCAAATAATTTTTGGTGCTCGAGTGTCTTTTTCGAGTTCTTGCAGTGCGGATATAATACTCTCTTCTATTCTGAGTAATTTCTTCTCGAGAAGTTCTTCCTGCGTGCGATTCGCATGTTGTCGGTATGCAGAAATATGTTCGTAGATGGGTGTGCTCAGATGTTCATTTATCGGAAGGTTCGGAGACGCGGGGAATGTGAATTGATATTTATAGCATGTGGTAATGATGGATAGGATGAGGAGCGTATATAAAAGAGATCGTAATATGCGGGGATGTGGCAGATGTGACATTCTTGATTTTTGGCATGATGTGAATATACATCAAGGAGAGGGGAGAAAGAAAGAAAAGTATAAAAATTGATGGAAAGGGGTTAGATGTTTTATCAATTTGATGTCGCAAGATCAGAAATCAGAAACCAATGGGAAGTGGGGCAGGTCGATATTTCTATTTTTGGAGTCTTGGCGGGGCATGAAAATTGGAACATCAATGTCGACGAGTCCAAAGGCATGGAAAATGAGGTTTTTGAGCAGTGAGACATTGGATAGTGATACATTGGATTGGAGTTAAAGATTGAAGCCTCTCGTGTTATTGAGCTTTCAAGTCATTTTGTTGAGAATCGTTAAACCGCTATTTTTTAAGCAACGTACATCAAAAACTTTCGTCTTCTTCACAATCACAACCACAGCCACAACCTCAATGGCTATTCCTCATACGTCAAATCTTATCCCTCACTACTCCATGGGAGAAAAGCTTAATATACAGACTACAGCCACTCTATTTACCAGTCTATGCTACCCTGATCCCAGGGAAGATCCGCGTCCCGGATTTGAGCACAAAAGAAGCTCTCATCGTCGTCGTCCCCATCAGGCCCAATGTCGCCAACACGTGCTCCGCTCCTATCTAGAACCACGTTGCTCGTCAACAATTTAGGAAGCCATTCTAATAGAAGCGCCAACCCGACCATATGCTCCTGGTTTCTATCTTGAAGACGGTTCAACAAAGTCCGGTAACCCGCTGCGTCATATGATCCTTCTCTCCACATTACTTCCCCTCTCTCTGTCAAAAAGTTACGAAAACTTGGCACCTCTTCCGCGCTAGATATGATAGATTGATCAATATAATCTTGTAAAGAGCGAACGCGTGTGAGTGCCATCATAAAAGAAAGTTTTAGCTCTTTATCATCGTCAAATTTCGATATCCAAGACTCCCTCTTGTGAAAGCACTCTATCTCGGCAACCTGATAAATCAAGCACTCTCGGAAGAGTACAGGGTGATGGAGCTTCTTAGCAATTCGAAGTAGAGATTTGCTGTTGCGGCGGATTGACTCCGTAAATATGGGACTCCTATGCAATGCGGAATCCAAAGAATGCGAAAAGGCAGGAAGAGCACAATAAAAGTCTGCTAAGCGGTAGATATCCATGAAACAGTCGTAACTACCGATGGTGTATGGTATATTGTAGAAAGCAAAGAGTAATGCATTAAAAGCGCGCCTTCCAGATCTCTCAGTCCGCGGGGCTTTCACTTCGTTTGTACTAGAGTCTTTGTGGAAACTGGGCGACTACGATAAGTCAGTCTTCTTGCCTAACTGTCGAGAAAAGAATAGATAAAACAAGATGCAAAACAACATACAGTTTCACTGCTTCCAAACCCCATTCTCTATCGTCATCAACTACAGAGACATAATCGTAGGAAAAAAGCGATGTCTCTGCAGCGGGAACCTTGTCTGCAGAATCTAGGAACTTCCGAAAGTATGCGGAGTGAAGCTTCAAGATGATGGAGTGAGCATGGTATTCCTGACCAAATACCTTGAGGCGGATATCGTTCTCAAAGCCTGGACGCTTGAGTATTATGGGTTTCATCGCTTTCTTCGCATTGCCATTGCCATCGGCGTCGCGTTTTGTTGGAGTCGAGCTTGCCATATTAAATGATGGGTTGAAAGACGTTGCCTTCAAGAGAAGTCCTGTTTAAGTCTCTTGAGAATATTATTGAAGAGATTCAGAACTGAGATTGACAGAAAAATCTTTGTGGTTGTCTGAAAGTCAGAGGAGTCATTGACAGGCACCTCGCAAGATGGACTGTCACCACCACCACCACGTGATCAAAAGGCAGTGCACTCAAAGGTATTCACTTTGAATATCACGCTTCATGTGCAAAATCATTTTTTATCCTTATGTTATACGAACCGTACTCAATACAACACTTCAGCCACCGGGACTCATCTCAATTCAGATCAAGGCCGCCGCTCAAGATATTCAATTTTAACAACTCGCTCGGTCGTCGACATGTATGAAAAAGCGTCGGTAGAGGCCAGTAAGATTTGGAAAACTGATTTATTCAAGTAGAGTAAGCCCCTATACACATTGATTTGATCGCTAATATTTCACGGGTCCTAGAGAATCCGCCGGCAGTAAGGTCCCTCTCTCACCCCTAGACGCACAACATGCTCCAACTGTTTTACCCTCAGGGCTTATCCCGATGACTTTCCGACCATTGAAGACTGCACACCACAAATGATCTTCTGTATCTATCACAAGAGCGATTGAAAATTCCATCTTATTTTCAAACACAAAGAAGCTTTTCAATACCGGATCTACAATGGCACCGTTATCGACTTCAAACAGGAAGCTACGACTTTGTGCGTCGCCGATGCTTTTAGTTGATCAAGATAGCCATCTGCCAAAGCAAATAGTAGACCTGAGCCGACGAGCAGTGTCTTCTGGGCATGTCCTTGGACTTTGACACAAAATGTGGGAGGAAGTTCGAACCTCATCATTTTAGTCTTCAAAGCTCCTCTTCGCAAATCTTCCAAAGTGCTTAGTATGAATAATCCGCTTTGGCCGACGAACAATGACTTGGCTGGAAGGTTTTGGGGAAGCAATGGCTGAAAATATTATTTTAGACAATGAACCAAACTCTTTCTCTTATCACATCCCTGCACCGCGACCCATCTAGTCACTAAGTGGAATCGCGGTAGGGAAGTCATTTCGTGTGGGAGCAGATAAGAAGTTGTTATTTCTGTTTGATATGCGAGAGCAGACTGTCCGATTGGTCATTATAAGTATATATTGAAGAACGTTCTCTCTTGAAAGATGTTACTTTCGAATGTTTTAAAAAAAGCAAAGTTGTATGTTCGAGAATGTAGGAGTTAGAACATGAGTATAGAGGGGGCGATGATTAGCTTTGAAGCATATTCAATATCATATCTACCTACCCAAGGAAGCTACCCGAACAAAAAACCAGGGCCTCTTCCAGAAACGAAGTATATATATGTTTCATTACCACTTTGTAACTTTCTGATTCTGAATCATCATCTATCTATCAAATAAACACCCTTTCCTGTCGCCCAGATGCTCTGTGGAGCTTTTCCATGTTTCAATTCAGATGTGGGAGTCAGAGACTGAAACCTCATATATCGTAAAATTTGTAAGATTGAAAAATTCTAGGCCACTTAAGTTATATGTATCATAGCTTTTCATAACTTTGTCTCAAGGGGATCTGAATTGGATTGAGAATTGGGTATTTTATGCTCGAATGATTTTAAAAAAAAGCAATGGAATCAAACAGGTTGATCTCTGTATACAATGGAGTTAGACGATCAATAGTATTTCTTGTATCGATTTCAGGTTATGGCAAAGGATTCAATAGACAGTAGAACATACTGCATCTGCAATTACATTGTTCTTCCTTTGTGATAATCATAATTATTAAGTTAGAGGAAGCCCACCACGAATTTGATGCCAATTGCATCATGTGAGATATATTGCACTATTCCATAAAGCAGGTAAGCAATTCCGTTAATTATCCATACTTGGATCTTATAACATATGAATGTAGAGAGTCTAGCATATGGAAGCTACAAGCTCAAGAAAGCCTTGTATAATACAGAAGGGCAAAATTGGTAGTATCTTTCCATAAGAGTCGAATCTAACAGGGTTGGGCAAGGGTAGACTATACCCTAATTACCCCAGATAAAACCCAGCAGAGTATCACTCTGCCTTAGCTTTACAAAGTGAAATTAAAACTCTATAGAATATCGAAAAATCCAGATTTACCTACCAAATATTATATATGAAACTTATATAAAGATATATCGAATTAAATAAACTGGAATCAAATGGTTAAAATTGTATAATCATTTGATCGTTCTGATTACTCAATATAATTTAAAATAACTATTTCTTCGAATAACTAAGTTACATAGAATGATTATATAATATATACTCAAAAGTAAGTCTATATTCTCAAATTATACAAAATAACCACCCGACTCTACCTCTATAGAGTAAAATAAATACCTCATGGGGGTCGAATAACCCGGGTAGGGTACAGGTACTGATGCCTGGAATTTAATGTAATAATTGAGTACACAGTCCTCGGTATCCCTCCGTTACCATTTTCATCTCCTAACAGCCTTCTCACGTCTTCTATTCCGCCTCCTGAACTGACTTTTGGCTGATGTTTAGACCAACTGTGATTCAAAGTCTCCTTAGCTTTGTTCAAAATATCACTACACATATCTTGAATGTTCAGTCGTCCAAGCTTTCCCCCTAAGTTTCGCTGGAGTTGGAGTTCTGGATTATGATAGACGCGTGTCACGGTAAATGCACGTGACTATCGAAGACGGATATTTTGCCTTCGAATGGGAGCACTTATATATCCTACCGCCGAGTTCTTACTACCTCAAACATAAAATTAAAATCTTTCAAAACTTTAAACTATTTTATGCAGTGTAACGATTGCAAGGCTTGATATCATCGGTCATGAGCTAACACGACATCTCATTAGTCAATACATGACTCTTTTCCGGTAAAATATGTTTGGAAAGATAATGATGTACTTTTTTTCCTTTTCGACTTTTTGGTTTTCTTTTTTTACTTTCACAATCATCATTCTTTGTCAACTTGGAAAATTTAAAACCCAAAAAGACTATTATATTATCTTTAAATTGCATTCACAATGATTTTATAATGAGTCAAAAAGTTACGAAATTTTAACCTTGTCATTAATTGAAGTATAACCTTTTCACCTCACTAATAATATTTTAAAGATTTGCTTTACTGAATTACATCAAGACCAGTACTTAGCACTACCAACTAATTGACTGGTTGATAATTCTACAAGAGAATCGACTGGTAACTTTACCGCAGGTCCAATAGTCAGGCAATGAACGGATTTGGTTCTTTATATTTGTTTGAAGTAGTTTCATTTATCTCATTTGCACCACTTGTATGCAAAATTTCTTATTCACTTGAATTATCGGATAATGTATGGTTAAATATTTGCGAAGTCTTTATGGGAGAAAGGAAAGATATGGGTTTGGATTGGCATTAGATTGCTGACACTCTGCGGATCTGGCGAGTTCTGAAGTACTAGTTGGGGTATGAATCCACTGGCTAATTGATGTTGAATGCTGGGCGACGACAGGGTGGGATAGCGAAACATGGAAAAGAACACTGATGAGATCAATATCCGGGACATGATAATGTTCAAAATCAGATAACTATTCATTTCATTTTCCCACGCAAGCGCTCTAATTAGTAGCACCTCTCAAAGCCATAGCTCCCAGAACCATAATCTCTAATTCTTTTCTTTCATCCTGTATCTTCTCACTCACGCCATTTACTGCCCCTTTCTTTCCACCGCCACCACCGCTAGCGTTCAACTTATACAGTTTCTTCACCCGCGCAATATCGGTCATTTTGCTTAACGTTCCATCTTCGAACGGAACGGCTTCTCCTTCGATGGATGAAGAGAGATGTTCTGAGATTTGAGAGGCGGATGATGCGGGTGCTACTTTTACTACTAGGAGGGAGGTTGTAGAGGGGGTTATACCGAAGCGGCGGAAGGATTCTGCGATCTTGGGGGGGCATTGTTAGATGGGGTTGTGGAATTTATTAACACAATCATAACCAATATGAGATGAGTCCAAAAATGATAATTTGGTATGATGTGGCATGTGTATACCCAGTAGATGGATAGGAGATGAAATAAGCGGGAATAAGGAGAGCGAACATACATTATTATTCATACTCAACGAAAAAACTATTTCCGAGTGTATATTTCGACTCTTTAATCGCCCTTCTAATGCATCGTTAATCGCTCTATAGGAGGCTGCTAAGATATGCAATTTTGACATGACCTTGTAAATTGTATTGATGTCAGCGATTGTCACGTGATATACCGCCCCACTATCAAAATTGTTGATGGAGGGTAGAGGGCTCGTGAGCGGGAAAAGAGAAGAAGCCGAAAGGGATGGGAAAAAGGAATAAAAGGAGGAAACGGGAGCGAAGAAGGAGAGATAAAAGGGGAAATAACATACAACACTAGCATCAATAAACGCATATTCAAAATCGGTATTTCCACTAAGTAATTGTTGGTGGAGGAATGAAGCATTTTGGATATTGCGGTAGAGGGCGATGTGGTGTTGAGGAATGTGTTCTAGGGTAGGGTTTGAAGAAGATGGGTAGGTGAGGGGACATTTTGGGTTTGGGTTTTGGTTTGAGGTGGTGGTATATTGGGGGAGCTGGACAGAGGGTGAATAAAGTGAGGAAAGCGGGTGTGGTATGGCGTCTCGAACAGCTGGAGGCTATGGTGACCAGGGTTGAGCGATTGGGATTGCTAGTGATGGGTTGAAATTGTTGCTAGGGTTGGGTTGGTCGCGGAATGGTGTGGCGGAATGGGTATGCTGGAGCGAAGATACACGGTAGATGGATGGTAGCGTCAAAGTTCCTGGTCGGGTTGTGATGCTGAGTCAGCTTCCAAGAACGGCACCCAAAGCATTCCTGCTAGTAGGGACCACAAGATGAAGGGTTTTTCATAAATTTTTGTCGGTGCACCGGATGAGCCGCTTGTGGCTGTGTAGTTTTTAGTGTAAAACAATGTGAAGCGTGAAGCTACCTACCTACGAGTAGGTAGGATCAACTAATTTTGGGGAACGGTTTTTACGTTTCTTTTGAGTTTTCGGCTGGTGGTTCGGCTGGTATTATTGTGTAAATGCTTGGCTTTGGCTAAGGATTTCCGACTCGGTGGTTCGGTAAGCTGGGAGTAGGTTATACATACATGTGAGGTGGTGATGTCTATTTTTAGTAAACTGGGGAGTCAACCCTCCTCCTTCAGTACCTAGGTAGTTTCCAACATTTTTTAATCATCGGATTATTTTTTAGATATAGACAGCCTGATCGGAAATTAATGCTGAAAGGCTTCTTCTTGAATAACCTTAGACGACTTTAGTTCCTCGCTAAAAATCCCATCTTTTCTCCTTGACAATACATAGATTATAGATTATAGATTACAGATTATAGATGATAGATTATAGATGATAGATTATAGATGATAGATTATAGATGATGGACCCAACCACCTCGAATTCCCCACTCCTACACTCCTCCATAATTCCCAGCTGAGAAGCAGGTAAATGACATTGCCCTCCTTCCATAGGGTCAATGCAAAACATGGCTTGCACGTGGCTTTTCCTTTGTCCTTTCGCCCTCTAAATAAGTATATGCCAAGTGCCAAGACATTCCTGAGATGAACATGAATGAGAAGCATTGTTATACCAAGGAAGATCTTGGCTGTTTCTGGACGTCATCTTTTTTAACATTTGATTTTTGAGGCATTTTGTTGTTGCTAGAAGTACAGGGAAAGAGAGATGGGATTGCGCGGTGTGTAACGAATGGTTGTTATGTTACATTACACTCATGGATCGACGGCCCGCGGAAATGGCTGTGGACTTGTGATACTGCAATGGTTGTATTGTAGTCTTATAGTCTGTTGGACTTACTAGGGAGGGGAGGATGCAGTTGATCTCCCCGGGTTCCTGATCTACGGAGAACCAAAACACGGAGGGAAATGATCGCTGTGAGTGCTATGAGTGCTGTAAGTTCTTTTCGTCAATTCTTTCTGAATCATAACCAGACTGTTGATCCTCACAATTATCGAAGCTTTCTTGAACGATTCGGAATCTTTCCTCGACACCCAATAGGCTCCGTGTTCCTTTCGAATGCTGAAATATGATAGGAAGGGATTGGAAGGGAAACACGTACCGGGACCTTAGATAAGGATGGAGGAAAAAGGGCAAAATTGCAGATAGCTGAAAATTCTAAGTCTTATGAGCTTCCCGTCGCTTTTGGATGAAGTAAGGTTAGGTTATGAATGAAGAAGCTTTTATTGTTCTTTTGAAATTCTAGAGCTTAACCACCTTCGTTTCTCCTTATCTATTTCTTTCTCGCATTTGGATGAGGTATAGCGAAGCCTTTCCTGTTCTTTTAAATTTTCAAATTCTAAAGCTTGATAGATTCTTTTCTCTATTCTTGGATAGGATTACGTCCCATTTTATATATATTGCATCTCAACAAAAAGCAAATGAAGATGTTCTATCCTTAACAACCACATTTTCTCTCGATATATTGGCCATTATACACAACCTTACCTGCCCCTGAATTACGTATCAACCTCATATTTTACCTATATATCTTCATGATACTATTGAGTATCGAGGGTATTTTTCATGTTCTCATACCTACCTTCTATTCCACGAGGCAGGCTTGTTCCTCTTTTTGCTTCCCTTCCCTTCCCTTCCCCCCATGTTGAATATTGATTGAGCTGAAGTGTTCATTCATTCCATGGTGTTTGAGCCTTGCCTTTCACCCATTTCTCGTCCTCCTGTTCCCTCCGTCCAACCCTCAAAGCGGCACCGTGATCCTTCTTTATTGGTACTAGCGTCAGCACAAGAGCAACAATCCAATCAATTCAATTGGCCTTTCGCCGCTCACAATGATATTTCATGGTAGTCTTGGTATACAATTGCCTCAATACAATTCACCTAATCTATCTGATCATCAAGACCGACTCGATCAACAATTTGATTTGTTGAATCCTTATACAAATTATACCAATTCTTCATGGCATTTCCATGGTCCATCAGACGCGAGGATTAATAATAAAGTATTGACGGATCAACATCAGAACCAGAATCAGAACCGACCGACTGGGTGTCCAACGGCTTCTTCCATATCACTACATAATACGGCGTTTTCCGGCGCATTAATTGCGACGATGCCTCAAAAGCGAAATGCTTCCGGTGAACCTAATGGCTCAAATGCTCCTGTTGCAAAGCAGATTAAATCAGAACAACATCCAGAAGAATTCTCAAATACAGTGAAGAAAAAGTTACTATCTTCGACGAGAACTGGTCAAGCTTGCGACCGTTGTAAGGTTAGTGCTAACCATTTGAAAGTCGGGACGAACGACATCGTTCCGCATTTCTATATTGTTCAAATCGACTAACGATGATGAATTTGTATATAGGTTCGTAAGATACGATGCGATGGATTACCAGGTGGTTGTTCACCATGTTTACAAAATAATACGGAATGTCGAACGACGGATAGGATAACTGGTCGCGCCACATCGCGGGGTTATGTCGAAGGAATTGAGCAACAGAATCGCGATCTGCAACTTCGAATTCAAGAGCTGGAGCAGCGATTGTTGCAAAGTGGCGCTGATATAAAACCCACAAATGGATTTCACGATTCAGGACCCGGACAATATGGATACGGTCAATCTTCCAATGGGATGCAATCAACATGGAGTTCGGCAGGTTCAGCATATACTTCACCAACTTCAATCAACATGAATAATGGCCAGCAACAAGAGACCAATATGTTTCGCGCTTTACCTGCTTACCGAGCTGGATGTATGGGCGATAATTATCTTGGAGTATCACCTGGAAGCTCTCATCTAAGCGCAATAAAAGGTACGGCATTATCGATTTTAGGTATGGAGATTGATATTGCGGATTTTCATTCCATCGATATGGACGAACCGGATTCTTCAGTTTTCCACCCTCAACTCTACAACAAATCATATCAATCTTTCCTTCAATCGGCTTGGAACGTAAATCCAAGAATTGACAAGGTTGAATTGCCATCACGTTCAGACGGTCTCACCTATGCCCAGTGGTATTTTCGTGTTATCAACCCATACTGTCCTCTCCTTCACAGAGGTACTTTCATGAGATTGGTATGTGTATTCTGATCCATAGCTTTTCCTTCAACTAATAGTCGATACAGTTGATTCGGATGTACGATGATGCTACCTTTCGCCCAACTATTGCCGAGAACGTCATTGTCCACATGGTCTTTGCTATCATGTTCTTCCAGTATGCGACTAGAAACTGGGAAGATGCAGAACAACAGGCGAATTTGAACTCCCAGTCAAATATGCACTACCATTACTGTCTGGGCATGTTTTACCAATTAGCATGTAGCCATACAGCACAAGATGTTCAAGCTCTAGCCTTGATTTGTATGCATCTTCGAAACTTCCCCAAGCCGGGCGCAAGTTGGATGCTCGCAAGAATGGCTATGACTCTTGCTATTGAACTTGGGCTTCACCGATCGATAAAAAGATGGGCCCCTGATTCGAATACGCTTAGCGAACTCGAAATCGAAATGCGTAGACGAACTTTTTGGGTTGTCCTAACTGTTAATGTTACCCTTAGTGGAAAGCTTGGCCGTCCAATGCCTTTACGGAATGATGATTATGATGTTGAAATTCCTTCGCCAATTGACGATGATTACATTCCCGGCGAAGGTATAGAGCCACCTCATCCAATTAAATGTAACCACGAGATCGGTATCCAAGCTTTCAAGCTTATACCATTTTATCTGGAACTTTATTCAACCATTTATTCAATATCACGTCGTCCAGATACTTACATTGCAACTGTCAATAAATTAGAGGCCAAGATCCGTGTCTGGAAGGAAGAGTTACCTTTCCAGCTCGTGAATGGAGAGTTGGGACATAATGAACAAGAAGGACGAGTATTCGCTCTCTATGCTCAATCTTGGTCTCAAGAATTTCGTCTTCTTCTGCGTCATCCATCAGTATCTATGACAACAGATCCCGATTTCAATGCCGAAAGCATGAGAATATGTGTAGAGTCTTCTCGGCAAATGTTAGGAGTTGTCCGCCAACTTCAGAAGTACAAAAGTCTTGACACGACTTGGTACAATACTTCGGTTTATGTCATGGCACTTACAACAACATTATTCGCCCAGTGGGAGAAACGTGGCGGGATATCGACAGCTGACTTGGCAGCGTTGAGAGAGGAAATGGATATATGGTTGGAAATCATGGGGGATATAGGTTCGCTGCTTGGTAAGTGCAATCTCGTTCATCCAGAACAACTTTACTAATTGATTAGGTTCTGGAACACGACTTAAAAAGGCCGTCCAGGTTGTCACCGACGGAACACTCGGTTTATTAAGCCGAAATTTACCGATCAAGAACGATAAAAGTTATGTTTCGGCCAACACGTCCCAGGAAGATATGAGACCTACAGAGCAATCTTCAAATACCAACGGTAACAATGCTTATGCAGTGACAGCTCAAAACTATAATTATACCGAGCCTGCGTCTGCTAGTGGAAGTGCACCTGCACCTAGCTACCCATCTACCGAAGGACAGATGTCTCATCAACAGACACCATACCCAGTTGCAACTCAATATTCGCCATACCTTGAGTCAGCTTCCAATACTTCCGATTTGGCATATGCTCAGCCCGAAAATCAAAGCTATTCAAGCTATTCGGCTCCAACTACAGATTCTGTAGAAGCACCATTAATCGCTGCATTAGCTGCTCAAGCATCTCAGGTCCCTCCCAATACATGGCATAGAAATTCAATCCAAGTTAATACAGCACCTACACAAGCATGGCAACATTGGACATCTACTATAACGGGCAACCTTGAACCGCAGGAATGTTACTCGGCCAGTGCTTTGATGCAACTAGGAGGGAGGGATATGAATGCTGGTGATGCGACACAATTAAATCCATCGATAGGCGAAGTTCCAAATGGAGGTGTGGGTGAACCGGGACATTTGGGTGGACAAGTTTCGGGGGCGATCGCGGGTGCGACTTGGCCCCTTAATCTTTTCGATATTGGTCCCAATGGTACGGCGGGTTGATCCTGGAGGTGTTTTGCACGTGATTGACTTGGGATGATTTGTGGATATGGTGATGGTTGGCGTACTGAGGATAGAAAAATGCGGTATATTGGGTGGTTGGTTTACTTGGAGTTTTAGGGTCCGGGGGCCAGAGGGTTACATAGGCTGGATGTAAGGTATTGGTTTGATGGTTTGGATTCGCTCGATTTTTGAACCTGAGAGTTCTTGTATTATAAAGGAAGGGCAGGAGAGACAGGTAGAGAAGAATGGGGGTTTAGTGGACGATTTAGAGATCTGGTAGAAAGAAAGGAAGAAAGGTACTGGGTAGCCCAAGTATTATTATTGAATCGTCAATGATATGTTCTCGGCTAGTTGAATAGAAAGTTTTGATATTCTCCATATTCTCTATATCAGAAAATTATGTGTTAAAAATCAGTCGGATATTAATACGCATATTTAATAAATCGAGCTGTATTGGATGATTGTATTGTGTTATTCATTGTATTGGATTATTGTGTGGTAGATCCACATAAAATAGATAGCCTTGCATAAAAGGCTGCGTTGGGGTACGGGTACACTAGTCAGAGTTTATGCAGAAAGTGGATCTTTTCATTTTCGGTTGACGGGTCAACCATGTTTTTAGAGGAAATGAAAGTCTTGAAGTTCTCAAGGTTATGAGTAAAAGTTTCAGGAACAACTTGTACGTAAATGCATGGGCATCATCAAAACCAAAATCAAACAAATTCCTACGACAACCTTGCGACCTTCGTTCCTTGAGTTTGTTGATATACTTCAATACCAAGCGGAGTAGGCCATTTGTAATTCTTCTTAACCATTCACTCCTTCCTTATTTTTTTCTTTTTCTTCCAGGTCGATCTTGTACAATTGAAATTACTGTTTGGCGGTCTGTTTACATTGCCTTCAGCTGGACAATAGTACATTATAAAGAGTACAGACGCCGTTGCGATGGCGTCAGACGCGTCTTCAATCTCTGTTACTGGTATGATGTTCTGGGTATCGCTTTGAGGCTTATCTCTTAACATTTGATAGTCCGTGTTCGACCTTTCACTATTCAAGAAGCCGCGCAAATGTATGTCCCTACCACTCAACCTCCATATGCCCATGGCATTGAATTCGAACGGCCGCTGACGCTTTATAGTACAAAAACCGATGATGGCATATCATTTTTGGGTGAGGGTTCATTGGCAGGAGCCCCGACTCCAAAGCTTGGTGGAAGAGGGATTCATCCTGTCATAAAAGTGATTGATGATAGATGCCTGTAAGCACTACAGAACATTGACACTCCCAAATCTAACAATAGCAGTGTGTTCGACCCTCCACAAGACAGTCCTATGTCTCGATTCCAATCAAAAGTAGTATCAAATATGGGCAAAAGAGTTAAAGATCAAACATTCGCATTCGACCGTGTCTTTGATGATAATACGACACAAGGAGATGTTTACGAATCAACAACTAGAGGACTTCTCGACAATGTGCTTGATGGTTATAATGCTACAGTTTTCGCATACGGTGCCACTGGTTGTGGTAAAACTCATACAATTACAGGAACTGCTCAACAACCCGGAATTATCTTCTTAACTATGCAGGAACTCTTTGAAAAAATTCACGAAAGATCAGAAGAAAAGCAAACGGAAATCACATTATCTTACCTGGAAATTTATAACGAGACAATTAGAGATCTTTTGGTACCAGGGGGCAGTAAAGCAGGATTGATGTTAAGAGAGGATGCCAACCAAGCGGTATCAGTTGCAGGATTATCGAGTCACAAACCACAGGATGTTCAGGAAGTTATGGATATGATTGTAAAAGGAAACGAATACCGAACTATTTCACCAACGGCCGCTAATGCGACATCGTCTCGATCTCATGCTGTTCTCCAAATCAATGTTGCACAAAAGGACCGAAACGCATCAGTTAACGAACCACATACTATGGCGACTTTGAGTATCATCGATTTGGCAGGTAGCGAACGTGCCAGCGCAACAAAGAATCGAGGTGAAAGATTAATTGAAGGTGCAAACATCAACAAGTCACTTCTTGCTCTTGGTAGCTGTATCAATGCACTTTGCGATCCTCGAAAGAAGAATCACGTCCCATATCGAAATTCAAAATTGACGAGGTTATTAAAGTTTTCTCTGGGTGGCAATTGCAAGACTGTCATGATTGTATGTGTCAGTCCTTCCAGTGCTCATTTTGATGAAACCCAAAACACCTTGCGATATGCAAACCGAGCGAAGAACATTCAAACCAAGGTTACCAGGAACGTCTTTAATGTCAATCGTCACGTTAAGGATTTCTTGGTCAAGATTGATGAACAAATGGCTATGATCAATGAACTTAAGGCTCAGCAGAAAGATGCCGAGAATATTGCATTTGTAAAGTTCAGAAAGCAATCAGAAAAGAGAGATGCTATTGCGCGCGAGGGAATGGCACGTATTCGGGCGGCATTCGAGAACTCAGTGACTGAGCGTCAGGAGAAGGTCAGCCAAATGAAGAAACTTCGACAAATTGAGCGCCGCATTAGTATTCTATCCTCCTGGATTGCAGCCTTTGATAACGTTTGCGATTCTCGAGATGATGCAGAAATGTTACCAAATTTGGCTGCCATGCGCAAGACTGCTCAAGGTATTCTTCTTGAACTAGAAAATAGTCGTCAACATTACCATCAACGGTTGCATAAGATGAATTGGGAGCGCGCGATCGATTCTGCATTGCAAAATAGTGTTCGTCAACTTGTTGAGATTGATGGACGTGAGGATGGCAGCGATATTGCTTGCTTGACTCGCGAGACGGAACTTTTGAAAGTCAAGGCTGCACGAGACTCATTCCAACATGTCTTAGACCAAGAAAAAGGTGTCGATGCGGGTGTTATGCAAGTGCTGCTCTCTGCCCAATTCGAGATCATGTCTTCGCTTAATGACATTATTGGTATGACGGAAGATGATGCAGTACAACACGGAAAGAAAACCATTTCAAAACTTTTGGAGACATGTTCAACAGCCGCTGCTTCAATAGTGAAACCAGATGGTTCCATGAAGAACACGGAGAAATTCGCCCCTAGCAAACGAGGTACGCCCAAACGTAAAAAGCAAATCAATCTTTCTTTTGAAGAATCACAATCACCAATTAAAATGCCTTCCCTCACGGTGGCACCACAAATTCCATCTCCGATGAAAGCCTCACCGAGGCGTCGTAAGATTGTAGTAGGTAAGAAAGGACTTTCTTTCACACCGAAGAAGACCTCCAAGCGAAGTGTCAGATGGCGAGACGATGACGATGCTGGTGCCTTGGCCGAATTCGAGAAAACTCCCCAGAAGTTTGAGTCCACTCCGGATATATCCTTGGTTGAAGACACTGTTACCCTACCACCTTTACCATCATACCTAGGCGAGGTTTCCACGGACCCCCTTGGCTCATCACCTATTCCTACGGCTCCACTGACATCCATTGATATTAAGCCCAAGAACAATCGATTCCAAGCAGGATTCCTGTCCAAAAAGCCCCCCTCGGGATCACCTCCGCCACCAACAATTACAAATCTCTCCCCAACGTCTTCGGATACCGAACATTCTCCATTGAGAATCCTCAAGAACGGTAGTTCCCCAAATAGGTCACCATTACGCGATTTAGATGAAATTGTCGAATCGAATGCAAATAATTCCGGGTCCGAAGCAGAGAATTGGAAAGTAGGGAAATCAGATGGTGTTAAGATTGGTCAAGCCCTAAAAAGAAATGGTAGTCTTTCGAGAACAGGCCATCCGCATACGACATCTGATGGTAGTCAAAGAATACGAAGGGCGAGAAGTCCAACTGCGGCTCAATTGGCCACAAGTCCAAGTAGTGAAAATCAAATGTTTACGGCAAGTCATGCGAGGAGAATGATTAAGAGTGATAAAGAGTCTACTTTAAGCAATGTACTTAGTCCTCGTACAGCACCAGTGGTGAAGCATGGACATAGTAGACGTACGACAGTTGATTCCGGTAGATCAGTTAGTGGAGGTCATGGTCATGGTCATGGTGCTCATGGTGGTAGTGGAAGTCTTAGAGTAACGGCAATTAATGGAAATGGAAATGGTGGTAGTATGGGTAGGGAGCCGAAAACTAGGGAAAGTGTTATGAACGTTGTTGGAAAGGGAGGTTGGAGATAAGTGGTATGATGTGGTGACGAGAGTTGGATGATTCATGTTCATGTCGTTTTTCTTTCCTTTTGATTGGGCATTGGGATTGCGGATAATGAACGGCGTCGGTTTATCTGTTTTATTTTTCAGATAGAGGTCTGGTGTAGTAGACTTCCTTTCCTACCTTGTTTCATAATCGCAAAGTCATAAAGATATGCGCGCTTAAATGCTTGCGTATATTGATGGCGTCTGGTGTTGAGATTTGGGGAGCGGAGCATGGCATGAATAATTGGTGTTTTCTTGCTTTAATTGTGGAATACGAATTTTATACCAAGAGTTTGGTTGTTGGTTTTGTTCTGTTTGGATTGAGATGAGGTGGGATAGGATGAGTTGAGTTGATGGTGTAGACCTGAAGAGAATTTGGGCTTTGTACGTATTCATGCATGATTGGCGAGGATGGACTGCCTGGATGATTGCTGTGGCGGTAGAAGTGAGAACAGAAGTAGAGATTTTAGAGTTTGTTGATTGAACTTTGATTATGAAAATTCATTATTTGATGTTGTTTTAGTTTGTGATATTGTGATGTAATATAGTGGTGTTGTGTGGTATGTATGATGTAATATAAATAAGGATTTTAATTTTTTAATTTTTTAAATTTTTTTAATAATAATTAAATATTGAATTTATTATTTATATTATTAAATTGTAAGATATGAAAAAAGAGAAAAGTAATCTGAGAAGTATTTTAATGAAGAATAAAAGTAAAAAACTAGAAAATTAAAAAATTAAATTATTTTGATTAAAAAAAAAAAAAAACTTGATTAGATATTATTTTATATTATAAAATTAATATTACTTTTAAATAAAAGAATCAGTATTAAAGTAGGATTAAGATTAAAGTTGATTAAACAAGAATAAAAATGATGAATAATGAGTATAAGCGAGAATAGAATAAGTAGAAACGAGGATAATAAAGTGAGAGTTGATAGAAGTAAGATGAATAAAGTCAAAGAGATGTTGTATAGAATATTATATAGAAGATTTCAATAGATTAATTAAAGAAGGATGGGGTAGGGATGTGTCACGATTTACGATTAAGATAAGGATATGTTGAGGGGCAGCAGTCAACGTGTCCATAGGAGCTTAGGCCTTATCGAAAAGCAAGGCGATTCGTATACAAATTTGTATGGTAATCGCCTCATGTGGTCTCCCCACCTTTAGCAAGCTCGGACATATAGTCTGATCCTAATCACGTGATAAGGAGCCCTGGGAGCTTCGAAAGCTCCTAGAGCTCCAGGAGCTTTTGGAGCTCTAGAGCTCCACAAAGCTCCTTTACATTCATTAGTATATAGTCAGAATAGTTTCATAGTTTAGGAGCTTCGTGCTCAACTTAGTTATCAATTAGTTTACCTACATTCCAATTGATCTAGTAACGTATTCACCTTCGAGTGGATAACCAGTGATTATTAGCCTTAACCTACAACTACCAACCAGACGAATCCTGAGGCAGCCGCTGCCTCGACCAGATCGTTACAGGATGAAGAGAGGATTAAAATAAAATGAAAAGGAAAAGTAAAAAATAAGTATAAAAAGTTTGAAAGAGATAAATATAAAGATAAAAATAAAAATTAGTATAAATAAAAAGAAAGAGTGAATAGAAAATGATTTTGAATGATGATTGAGTAGGAGGTAAAAGATAAAAAAAGAAAGAGAGTTTTGAAATCGATTTTATTAAAGTTGAGTAAAGAGTAAAGTATATCTTAAATTACTTTAAATAAAACTTATTAAATAATTATTTATTTCAGAGTCGGGTAAAGAGTAGAGTATATTTTAGATTATTTTAAATAGAATTTATTAAATAACTCATTTATTTTATCTTTATAAAATAAAATAAATATTCTATAAAATATTTAAAAGTATAAATATATTTATTAAATATTATATATAAAGTTTATATAAAATTTATATTTATAAATTTCTTGAAAAATAAATAATTATAAAATCATTTCAATCTTTTATTATAATTAAAATGCTGATATTTAATATTAAAATAATATCGTAAATTAATTATATAAAATAAATATAATTTAATCTTTTATTATATATTAATGAAGATGATTAAATAAATAAAAATAAAAAATAATATTTAATATTAAAAGAATAAAGAAAAATTAAACTTATACTTTTATATCCACGCCGATGATCCTCTTAGAGAAGATACTATATGCGCATTTTGCTCTGGAAACAGTAGGTGTTAATTTCAGTTAAACCGAAGCAATTATCTTCATATAGTCACAAGATTATAAAATCAAGTATACAAATCACAATTAGACAAACACCGATTAAATTAATCCATTTTTTAAAGTTCAACACAAGCTAACCAAAAGCTATTGATCAATCACGTAGTAGCAAGCTACTTTCATGAAAGAACAAAAGCATAAACCCTCAATCCATAAATTTGATCCAACCAAAACGTTACCCATAAAAGACTTTTGAGCTCCCAGAAAATATATAGGCATAGAATCGACTTAATCCTACACCCATACCTGAGAAAAAAAAGAAAAGCTATGTAAAGTCGTAGTAAAACTTTTTGAAGAGACCTGCTCTTCGAAACCATAGGCATAGGAAGTCCGTCAATCGTCTAACCTGAAAAGTAAGAGAAGAGATACATCTTGAAGTGCTAAGAAGTTCCAGTATGAAATGGTGCGGCTTTAAGGAAATAGAATAGACTATTGATTAAGTTGACGTTGTTGTCGAGAATCGTGTATCATTCTTTTCCCCTTAATTTCTCGAATAATTTCCCTCCGATGAGGAATTGGTTCGCGGTTTGTAGCATCCACGTGCCGGATTCCCCCCGACGTCGTACCACAATAGGAGGTTTTTGGTTTAGCATTCCCACATCGATGACGATCGTTGTGATTAAAAGGATCAATCTTAATCCAAGTGCACAAAGAAAGGTCAACCGTCTCTCCTTCGGCAGTTAAAATAATAAAGTCTTGCGCACCCGACGGACGCTCGGTTCCAGGTGTATAGTCACCTGTTTTTTGTGCATGAAACTGCAAAAATGGCTCTAGTACTCTTTCGTCAGGGAATATTGTTACTCCATAGCAGGTTTCTGGAGGGGGCCGATTTGCTTGGGTTAGTGTGATCGTGTGTTGTTGTCCATGTAATGGTGTACCTCCACCTTGCTCGTGACCTGTTAACGGGGTATTCATTTCTGCAGAGGCCTCAACTGCAGATAGAGAGGTCCCGGAGATATTTTTGGTGGTCATACGTTGTTGCATTGTTGATGTATCGTCTGTTCCTATTTGTGTTGAAGTTGAACCATAGCCTAGGGGAGCCGGAGCGTCGTAGGTTTGGGCGACAGTATCGGATTTTCCAAAGCCTGCTGAGCTGGAAGCTTCCGCAAGTGCGTTAGCTGCAAGTTCATAATTGGTTTGATATTTGTCAAGTTGTGGCGGTTGTTCTGAGACAGGAGGGCATATCATTTCTCCCGGTCTCTCTGATGATTTAGAAGCACCTGGAATAGCAGTGCTTCTAGGATTCTGGTCGCTAGCCTTGCCATGTCTATGCAATGATCTCCCTGTTGTATGTCCAGATATTTTCCCTCGCTTGTTACTGTCTGATGACCCTCTATTGCTCTGATCTCCCGATGGCTCTTTCCGTTTATGATGATTCGACGGGGAAGTATGAGGACTAGAACCTTGGGCTTGCCCTGTACTGTAGGGTTCTTTGATTGATCGGCTTTCAGTGCAAACGTCGGTATTGTTGTGGCCAGGATTCCCTTGTACGGATGATTGTCCACCGCCTGCTGCTGAATAACGTGGTGGTGGGCGATATTGTGAATGCAAGATGCACATTTCGCACTTCCCCTTTTGTGGATCTTCCATCTCATTGCCACATATTGGGCAGGGATCTGAGAGTGAGACAGGTGGGTGATTATAAAACATCGCGCTATAATAAAATACTCAGATCTCTGCTACACGCAGGTTCCAGAACTCAAACCCTAACAGAATATACAGAAAATATGAATTGTATTTCTGTATGGATGTTGTGGAGATGCTGATAGAGGAGGACTGGTATAATTTGTAGGATAGTAGTGTTATGCCAACAACGACAATTGTATTTCTGACTGTTGTATTCGACGTTGCAGAGGAAGTTACAAGAGTCTCATCCCAGAGGCAGCAGCAAATGTCAATAAATTAATGATGGATTTATGGAAGGAAGTGTATGATGCAAGAGTTCTGGAAACTACTCCCCGCACGTTAAGCGAAATCATGTTAAAATTGACGACTTCCCACCCTTTTGGATCTTTATTAATAGTAGTAATAGTAAATTCAGAATAGATCTAATCTAACTATAACTAATACTATACAGATCATATAATATATCTATAGCAAAATGACAGCTTGTGGATGGAAGCACAAAACGGGTTGCAATGATGACATTAAAGAAATGGCTCTATGTAGTGATTATTTTACAAAATTGTGTAAAGGCGAAGACCCGTTCCAGAATAGCAGAGCTTCACCCTCTTCTAATCTAGACCCAGCATCTAACTGGGAGATTGATTTGAAAGATAGATACTGGATCCCGATAAATAAGAAAACTGGAGAGCATGTCACCGCAGAAGAAATAAAAGAGGGCAGAGAATGGGAAGCGAGGAATGCTCGACGAACCCCGAACGAAAGACAGAAAGTGTTTAGGGTATCCAGAGATGAATTATGTGTTTTACCCGATGGTTGAGGATAAAAAGGAAGATATTAATGATATCCGCACTTCGGGTGATGATGCAGCAGCGGAATCGTCGAGGAATCAGAATTTCGCACTTGAAAGCTGGGGAGCGACTTGGGACGTGAGGAAGCCTGATCTGATTTGAGAATCTTTTCCAAATACGCCTGCAGGTACGATTGGGGTGGTATTGATAGTTTTTGGTGCCCATATAAGGTCACGGATATCTAGGGATGCACGATAAGGCGGCCGACCGGTTGGACTTTCAATTCTTTTCTTTATGGATTTTGTGTTGAACCTAATAATTCGTGCATCGTGTGGAATCTGGGTCGCGAGTTTTTGTTTCAATGGTTTTCTTGATCTGGGCTTTGATAGGGTATTTGGAAGATCGGTATGTTTTGGGTGTGATGGCTGGGGAGCTTGGCGCTTGGGGCCGTGTTCGCGGATTGGTTTACCTTGGTTTCTTTTTCCCTTTCGGAGCGAGATATCAAGGCCCTGAGACTGGTTAGAGATTCTGGCATGTGTGTGGAAGAATATCGCGCATACTGTTATGAACATGTAGCTTATAGAACACATTCATTTAGACTTTTGATATGAGTTTTCCATCTGCTCTCAGCCTTGATTAACTAGGACACACTTTATTCAGAATATGACCATAAATCCAGCTGATACTGATGGCATTGGTTATTAATTATTAATTTTCGATTAATAGGTATGATTAGGAAACAAATCCTGTAGCGTATGAGTCTATAGTTTCGCATGACTCTAGACTATCAGGAGGGTGGATACATATCTCTTTTGTTGGAGCAACAGAAGATTATCTACCTTGGAGATTCTCTTGAAAAAGGAGTAAACCACTTTGTCTCACTTCAAGATGAGTATAGTTCTTTTTCATATAATTAAAAAGGTATCCTTTATTATTGCAAGTTTGCATTTATCCATATCGTTTAAATAGATAGTTTTTGACATTTGCCTTGGCCATGGCTCAACCATTTCTCAGAGGATCGTAAGACTCGCAGCATTTGATACTCTCGGGAGAGATTCACTCTATGGCTATCATGTATGTTTAGCCGTAGGAATACAGGGGAGTAATCATCGATTAGACTGATGACTATTAGGAAATGCTCTATATCTTGTTCTTTCAGTAATAGTAAATTCGTATGATGTCGCAAGCACTTGAATTATCACGGGTCATAACCGGATATATGTATGTATGGACTAATCAACCTAAGCTGATGGACTTGGTGTCTCCTTCTAACACTTCATTATGGATAATTTGTTAGCTACTCTATCAATACTCAAATTCAGAATTTATCTTCGCTTAATATTATTGCGCGTCTCAATGTCACTATTAGAAATAAAGAAGATAAACATGATTCGTCATTACTATTAATCTGAGCTGGGCAATGAATATTCAGAAATATATATCCAATTACTCATTTTGATTACAGCCATTTTCTTTTAGAATCATAATGCTTAAATTTTCGGCTTCCACCATTCCATTTTGTGTATAAATAGGAATAGCTTTTCCACTTAATAGATATTCTACTTTTCCGTTTCTTTAAACACATAATTTGCATCAACATTCAAACAAGTTCGAGTTCCCTTCACTTATAGTCTAAGACTTTCCCCATATATCTTCAAGTTTACACGGTTGTCTCACTTTTTTGAAGTTGCGCAGGAATTACTGACTTGTAATTAGAATGTCGGCCGGATACCAAGGGGATTGGAATCAGCATACATCACAGGTCTATCCTACTTCTCAAACACACAGCCCCGAGCAGCAGTAGAATACCTTCCAGGCTCAAGAACAGCAGCCAAGCCAATATTCCCAGCCTCAACTGTCCCATAGTGGTGCTAACACAGTGGGTACTTATACTACAGGACAAGGATTACTTTCTAGACGAGCTGGGCCCTCTTACAATCCGAGAAGTCTCCCGATTTCTACATGCGCCCGTTGTGGCCTTCCAGGTATTCCTACAATTCTTTGTTCAGACAACGGATGTCACTCAATATGTCAGGATCTGGCTGAGGGTCTCTGTCACTCATTGGGAGATAGCCACACCTAAATGGGATATGCTCTGACTGGACAGTGCGTAGCTCATCGGGATGGAACTCTCCAGTTCTGTCATGGACATTCTACTGACCCGGTTTATAACCCCATTTACACGGAATTATATTATCCGGGGCGAGAGCGTGGCTGGTTGCTTGGTGAGGAACCACAGAAAAGACTTGCAAGCTCCTACGGCAAGCCAGAGCTCCTTCCTCTACTTAACGGAATTATTACGAGGCAACAATGGCTTGGTGGGGAGACGAATATATTTCCAAACATGGAACAATAGACGGGTCTAGCTTCTCTCTTTGTGATTTTGCTACTTTCTGTACCTTCTAATTTTCTGAGCTCCCGTTTGATGCGATCATTAAAGGATCCAAATATTACTGGGTGTGATGAGAATTATGACTGAAACTATGTATAAAGCATGTTCAGTCTCGAAAAAGTGCTGCAATTTTTGGGTCGGATGACCTTTTGTTATGCGATGCTTTTGGGATTCATCTAATATTGTTGTCGGGGAAGTATTTTGATGCGAAGTTGCTGGTGGCTCGTACTCAGCTTATTTTGAGACAATACAAGATCTAATTCCATCATAAAAGAATATTAACCTTATGTGAACTCATTAGACCGTCCAAAACCTGACTTGTGAGAGGTAATATTGATCTGTTTTCAGTTTCAACTTTCGACGCATAAAAAAATAACTTAGAAAGGTGTTGACAGGCAATGGATTTTAAATATTTGATTTTGTGAATTCTCATCGTTGTCATATCTGATCCAAGGTACGATGATTGCCCAACCCATGAGACCGGCTCTATACAGAACAGATAATTTCCAAGCTAATGGATAATTCTATATATAATTTATGTACAGCTTGGTATTTGAGTTCTTAGTACTCAATTTAATAGACATCTGGAAAATTTCCTTGTGCTCAAAGATCTACCTCCTTCCACAACGCAACTCATCTGATGCCAAACACTATTCATACCACTAAGCCACCATGCTCATTGATATTATTTCTCCAAGTCAGTAATTCCAGGGAGCGAGACCCAAAACTTTCTCTCTCCCTGGAACCGTTCATCCATTTATCTACATGCTTATCACGTGCGTGACTGTAGTGCATGTAAATGTCACGGCAAATTTGTATTCCGAGTCTCAATGCGGTATAGGACAGGCATTGTCGCTTAATTTAGATCAATCAGGTGGTGTTACCCGTTTGCATATATATTACCATTTAGATTCCATTCCGAACGCCGGTTTACTGGTGGAGTGGTTATATATTCGTTTCCATTTTCGTAGTGTTTGTTAGTCCACATGATATCATAATTTAATCGTACTGGGGTGATGTCAAATAATTCAATATTCAGCCACCCTGATACTAATTCACACTAACACTACCACTAATCATTCTACCTCTTCAGGTTGACTCTAAAGCTCACAGCGGCTTAATACTTGAGCGGAGAGCTGGTTTACGATGTGAGCTGTTGATGAATAGCTTAAGAATGTTAAATGGGTGGCGTGTAGGGTTGAAAAGGAAGATTCTTTGTTCATCCCAGCCGCTAAAAGTGGTGAATAATAGATGATTTCAAGCTTGAAAATCAGATTCCGTTGCCAAGTGTCTGAAACGGAAATGCGTCCTGATATGAATCCGTTCTTTTATGAACCTTGATTATAATTTTTGAGTTGTTAAAAGCCATCATGCAATCTATCAGTCACGCATTATTATGTTGTTTCACGAGCCATCAGGTAGAGTCACGCCCGTTCCTCTACAAATCATGTTACTCATAACATTTTATAATATCACTCACAAATGTCCCTTAAATACAGCCAGCTTTTAGCAAGAAACTTTTCCCTATCTCTTTTCTCTTTCTCTATTTCATCAAAGAGAAAGAAAGTCTAAAATATCTTAATATTTAAATTTGCAAAGCACAGAAGTCCCATCATTGCAAAATGTCTTTACATGATTACAAAACGGGAAGTCGCAGAAATAACTTTGATCAATCTGATCAAAGTAGTCAGAATCTTCTGCAAGATTATAGAATAGGCCAGACTGATGCGGCTATCTATGATGGTAATAGTAGGGGTAATAACGCGGGAGAAACTGACTGGTAAGGAAGTTATGCCGGTAGTGTACCGGTAGGCCGTCCTGTGATAGGAATGAACCCTGATCCTTTGGGGTTGATCGGCTGTATAGGAGACACCGGTAGCGAAGTTGAAGATAGAGCCAGTGAGTCCAAATCATCAACCGAATTTCAAGTCATCGGAAAAATTTGCCAATCTAACGCCCTATTAGAAGAAATCCAGCATTTTCCAGACACCCACACCGGAAAGCTTGATCCTATTGGTCCGCAGCACACGAAGCGGAGCCATACATAATCGCAATCATCAGATAAGACCGTTCTCCCCTTATTTAGCTCAAGGTTTAGCGGTGTTAGTCAATCTTCATACCTTCCAACTCCCAATTTAGGAGTTGAAAACACTTTGCAGCGAGTCGATCATTCAAAACCCTTCCAATACACAACTGATAGACAGAACTATCCACCCCCAACCCCTATCGAAATACAAAATATCCACTATAGAGAAAACATGCGCTCGAACACCTCGCAGCTCCCTCCTGTAGGGGCGTCAAACTGCTCTAAGCCTAGATTACTTTATTCGGTGGAAAGCCGCAGAGAGCCCAGAGCTCCATCTTCTGGGCTAGTGAACAAAGAAACTCAAGAAACAGGAATGCAGAGACAGGATCCGGTCAATCATGATTATTATAACAGTTGCACCTTAATATCTTCAGCATTCCTCCCAGGAACCGCCACCAATCATGCAACCGAACAAAAGATATGAATCACCCGCTCAGTATGATAATGATCAGATTTCTGTCCAAGCATCAATACACCCAAAGCACGCGCAATCCTCTGGAGACAGAATTTATCAGGAAGAGCAGGGTCCTATCGGGACTTAGAGCTAAGTGTCTTTATCCAGAATTTTTGACACGGGTAGATGGCAATTCACACCCTAGAGCGTGCAATATACATTTGGATGAGTCAAGAGACTGGGAATTTTCCTATTGCGAAGCGGAGATGCAAAATTGTGATAAAAACAACAACAGTGATTCTTTCTTTCCAAACGGCCGATGCATTCATCATAAAACAAGATGGGATTTAAGATATTGTGAGATTCACACGTCGAAATAGGAGCCAAGAAAACTATTTAGAGAATCCAAGGTAGGAAAAGACGGGAAATGGTTCCTTGGACATCATAAAGGTACTGCGCCATTTCCTGCTAAATATGGTACATCGGAATTGAAACCATATTGGAGAAGAAGGGAGACAAATTCATATTTTGACGTCGAGGGGTCTGCTCATTCTTATTGACCTGTTTTCTATTCATGTTTTACCATTATGACGCTCCACATAATTCTATTAATATGTGGGTAATCTGTTCGAGGCTTTCGGAGGCGAGATATAATTATCGGGATGATTGAAAGATACTGTGCTGGGGTTATTTATAAAATATTTGGTTTTCTTAAGGTTAATTTCCATATGTCTTTCGATGCTTTTTGGAATCCGCAGGATGGTTATTATCTCATGTCAAGGCATATTGTTACAGAGGTTGCAGACAGCCTTTAGCTAGCTTTCACTGATATAATCTGATGCTTGATTCTATTATACAATCGATCTGCAGTGAAATCATTTATTCACATTTGAAGCCAAAAAATGAAGTACTATTTTTGAATAGTGTTATAATTAGTATTTCCTATGGTGGAAATACCTCACGTTGTAGTGATATAACATGTCGAGCCCACGGTACTGTAAGGACGCCATTATTCCAATAACAATCGATATCAACAGTATACATACTTCGTACTCCTTCCTATCTACAAATAATCAACGCCAACACAACACACGTACGATTCGCAACCAGAATCTGCCACAGGACATCTAAACAACCCAACGACTCCGCGGTCAAATGCAGATGATGAATATCAGGACTTGCTTCTGTTAATCACACAGAAGCAATAATACTGCACCATTCATCATTACCTATGAGTCTCGCGGCTTCCGAAAAACTTGTCTGCGCATAATAGTAATGAAGGCCATCTTCACCATGATTTTTCAACCAAATGCGCTGGTGAAAATAGCTCCTTATGCTCCATGTGCTCCGGCTTTCCATCAAAACAATCTCTTTCTTGCAGAGTGGGATGAAGTTGAGTTCCAAGGTTGGACATTTTTCAAATTATTTTCTCTTCTCTTCTCTCAAATCTTATCATTGTTTTCTTTTTAATGAATCAATTACACTCTCCCCACTACCCATCCCATTGAATGAATGCCGGAGATTCTTTTGAATAATTATTATCGAGAACAAAGTCGCCATTAACTATTGCCCTCTAGAAATATCACTGAATCTCATTTCAGCATTGAAGCAGCCGCACGAGACAGAGACCACAGTACATACACTTCTGAGAAGTAAGGACCGGCTGTCAATCCCTCATGTTGTATTCATTATTGGGCTCAAGGGAATGAATCTTAGTATTTATTCACACTTCATTTAATCAATTTCACAGAAGGGATCTCACAAGACAAACAATTGTCACAAGAGTCTGAAGATAACATTATGTATAAATTCCATTGACTAACACCTATTAACGACATGGCTTTTCCTTACAGGAACTAGTACATAGTAATCATAATGTAGGTGCTTGAGGAACTGGCCGTTGCTGATATTCAATCCAGCATACCATGAGAGAGAGTAACAACAAAAGGCCCAATGGCGTGTAATAATGACCGGAGTAGCACAGCAAAAATATGTAACCAAAGCAAGTAATAGAAAAACACAAAAAAAACATCTAAATCGTAATTTTCAGTCTCGTGACATATGTGAGTATCGTGGATGGTAACGTACCAGTTGTCCGCCGAGAGTAGCAAGCTTGAATTTGTGGTCTATGAGCTTGATTTGGTGGTCGATGAGCTTGATCTGAGTAGAAAGAAAAAGGCGAGTACTTTTATCTTTCCTATCATACTTCACATTAATCGCCTCGCAGTAAAGATCATGCTGTAGCATCAACTTGGCGTCTTCGCACGATAAATGTTCATATGAACGGCTTGAGCGTTCATCGTCCTCCCTGTATACAATGTCAATGGTATAGGTACTGATAGAAGGAAATAACAACGTGGTGATTTACCGTTGCCGCCGTCGAGCTGAAAGCTGATCTGGATGTACACCAGCTTTCCACTGGAGGACTTCTATCCGAGGTAACCACCGGTTCTGATAAACCACCAGTCAGCTATGTGCGATGCTGAGTAAGATCTCACACTGAAAAGAAAATGTTCCCGCCCAGCATCTCGCAAAAATGTCCTGGAAACTAATCCGCCGCTCGTTCTACGGTCAGTGCGAAGGGAAGTTGTGGATCCCAATAGTGCCTTCCCCCCCGACGACCCGAAGGCCACACAGATCGGGGAGTTAGCTACCACCAGACCCATTACAGATCTGGTCTTCACACCAGATACATCTTTGCACACGATAAGGTAGCTGAAAACACACAATTCTTCCTAGGAGAAGCTTCCCCTAGCACATAGTAGGCAGGTTTGGAGGTCCCACTGACCAATAGAAGTCTTGCTTATGTCCTAGGTGAAGGGTGCGTAGTCGATCGGTGACTGTGATTCCACCTCACTTGAAACCAAACGTGCTTGAGACAAGGCTGGCAGACGGGAAGGAATCGAGACAGTGTGCGGGGAACAGATCTTACCGGTAAGAAGTTAGGGTCGAATGGGTCCCTAGGGTTCTATGAAGATAAGTGTTAGCTGGTATTTTGAGAATTCAAATCTTGTCTCAGGACAGGAGGGTGAATCGAGGTGAATTCAATGATAGACTTACATGTCTTCCGAGGTCATCCGAAGGATCTGCCATTCTTTTGGTGGGATATTGCGTACGACGACAAGTAAAGAAGAATTAAAATAATGGAAGATGATGAAAGGTGTAATAAAGTGGATGCGATTCTGAGAGGAGAAAAGAAGGAATAAATAATAGAATGACGGGAAGAAGCGAGAAGCGAAGGTGGGCACAATAAATGGGGTGACGGGTAACGGATAATTAAATGTCTCCACGTTGCACAACCTGCCCCACTTTCTCAACCTCGGGAAGTGAGTTGCCAAGATGATCTTGACCATTTTTGGACTGGTTCCATGTGTTAAGATCTACAAGGGGAAAGGGTATCATTTACTTCCCCTCTTTCTTCGCGTTCAGTCCATCGCGTTACGCGTTTGGGCTCTCGTGATTGATTGGAGACGATGTTGGTATTGAGGGTCTGTCTGATGCATATGTCGTACGATTTTTTGTGAAGACGACATATTTTCACGATTGGTGAATTCACAGAACGATTCAAGCAGGAGAGGAGGTGAATTACATTATTTACGTTGTAGAGAATATGATTCGTCGGTGGAAGAATTAACTACCTCGTACCTAACTACTACTTACTCTCTTACTGTGTCTACGCGTCCGCACGTCCACAGGTCCACACGTCCACACGTGTTACGTGTTTATGACTCCAGTAATTCTACGGGCCGGGAATTCTTCGGACTTACGTACCCCATTTTTCATGGCTGGGGACCCCACAGTTCCTATCCAATCAAGTATCTGCCGACTGAACAGCCTAACCCTACTTACAATCAGATCGATCACCTGAATATAAAATAGAGAGGGAATATTTCAAAGGAAAATACATGTGAGAGATCATCTCAACCTTGCTCTTTTCCGACCCAAATGCTTGAATATGATGGATGATGTAATCTGTGTAAAGCTTATTAGTATGTTTGACGAAATCCCTGTTCAGTTAGTTGGCTGCCTCAAATAGAGGTTATATTGCACATAGGTTTGACAAATGTCATCGCTTGAGTGAAATATACGTGCTGGGCCGGTACGTGATAGCCGTCACTTCCAAATTCACCACCCACCACCAGTAATCGCAGGCCCTCAAGCCCCCTCACTTGATCTCCACTGCCCTACTCATCATTCACCACCAATAAGATTAATAATAAATCTCTTCAAATCTCTTTATTATAAAATGAAATCATCAATTAAAAATTGAATTCTATATTCCAAGTTTTTAAAAATAAAAAAAAATAAATAGTATTATTTTTTATTTTATTATTTTCAATATTTTCAATATTAATTATATAAATCACTAGTATTGATATTAGTATCTCGATAAAAGAAGTTATATATATTTTTTTTTATATCTTGTAATAATTGATATTTAGATTTAATAGAATCTAAATTATTTAAAAGAGTTTATTATTATTATATAAAATAATAAAAACTAATTAAAGAAAAAAACTAATTAAATATATCTGTCACCTTTCAATAAATAATAATGAATGATAAATAGATAATAAAGATCAAATAAGAGAGCTTAAGAGCCTACGATTATTTCATTAAGGTTCACAAGTACAAGTATTTTTATTCCTACATTTACAAAATAGTTATAGAATTGTCGAAGATTCTACTTGAACTATTACATAGTCCATCAGCACAGTTTATCAGAACCTGAAATCCTATTTGATCATATGACCTCAAGTTTTCCTGTCTATCAATAAATATAGATGTCCTACTTTTCAAACAATGACTTACATCATGTTGTAGAAAGGCTGCATTTACATAGACACTACAGCTAAAGTATCAAGACTCTATTCCCCACTGTTCGTCAAACGGCATACATCATCGTGATACGGCCCCTGAAATCTCGCTTAGCTGACATCGACAGTCAGCGCCCAAGCCCTAAGATACTTTCTAACTGTATACAAATCTCGAATTTCGATCTTATACGACATCTAATTACTTTTTGAATAATGGAAATTCATGAAAATTCATTTTATATAGATAACCCAACCAGACATCACACCAAAATTCTCAATTACGGTCCAAGAAGTATCTTGGGGCAAAACACATATAGCCGTACCACCAGCTCCGATCCCACAACGAAAAACTTATTTATTTTCTCTTCAACTTACCTGTAATACTTTCATTACAACAACTTGTCCTAGCTTCGACAAAACAAATCCGCAGCTTCTCTTTCACAGATCGTCATTCCAGCCAGAACCATGAACTGCATTCGGAAGATTAAACAAACATGCAAAGACAGGGTTACATCGCAATTTAAATCCCACACTTATCTAGCTCTTTCAAGAACATCTTATATAGTACTTGGCTGCAGCGCGTGGATGGCTATCTCAATCAGGTCACTTTCCTGCTGCATCAAGTACGAACCTCAATATTTTTTACTTTTCAGCCCAGCACATATCTGGGCTTTTGTATTGATCATCCGTCATGAATATAAGGAACTGGAAGAAGTCCATTTGGATTGGGAGAGAGAGGAAGCTCAGGAGATCAGGTCTCAAAAGTTGAGGGACGCATCTAAGAAGAGTGAATCAGAGGCTGACAAATTAAGCGATGGAAGCGGGAGCTCTAATGGTGGAAAGTCAAAGAGAAGAAATCATAGAGGGGGGGTCAAGGCTAAGAAAATAAGAGGTAGAAGTGAAGAGGCGAGTGCCACCTACAGTTAGTGGGGTGTCGATCCTGAGGAAGTATTAAGCGGGGAGATTTAACGGCGCGTTGAAATAGAACTATGATTAGCGCATAACTACAAGCTTCACGGTAAATATATGGTCATAAGATGCAAAATTGGTGGGAGGATGGGGAGATCTGCATTTGAACCTGCAATTTCAGTACAGAATACTATATAGTTGTCGATCTGACTCCTCAAAGACTTTGCGCGATACTTCTACAAGCTTCGAGTTCTTTCTAGAAAGACCTCGGATTTATTCAAGATGTGTATAAATAATGATATACTTATTAAGTCTAGTACCCTACTCTCGGACCACTCTTTTATATCAAAAATTGTGATTTTCATCTATTAATAACTTTACAATCAATGAATAGAATTTAATAAAATTTGAGTCAGATTTATTATATAATCATAATTCAATTTTGAAAATTTTAGATTTTTTGGAATTAATTTCATTGAGATCTAAAATCTTAAATTGTGTGATTTTTGATTTTTATAAGATTTATATATAAATTTACAAAATCTTTAAAATCTTTAATAACTTTTTAACAAAATAATAAAAACAAATTATAAAAATTTTTCAAATATTTATATCATAAATGATCGAATAGATTAATTTATTTTAAAAAATATTTATAGAAATCCTTTTAATCAAAATATTATAATTTTAATTCTTATAAAATCTAAAAATATCAATAAAGATTCAATTATATTTGTTAGTATCACTTCGGTGATATAAATGCAGTTGTCACGGAAATCACGTGCTCTAACGTGCTTTCACGTGATCTCTAACATCATAGTACTCACTCGCCCACGTTTTTCCTTACATCTAATCGATATCATGTAATCATATCTATCTAGTCTAGCTCCTTATCAGGATGATCGTCGGCTAGATAGTTAATTAGATCTTATATATATGAAGTCCTTGATCAATAGGATCAAGGGCAAGTCTATTCACTTCAATATAACTCTATATACTCTTATATATTATTCCTACCAAGATTTCTTATATACTTTGTAATCATACTATCCGTGATAGCAGTGTATAGTATTCTTCTTGTATTTGTTTATGAATGATTATTATCTATCTAAAGGAGAGAGATTTATTTATATTGAAAGAGGTACAGGTTAAAATATACTAATTGTACAGCTCCTTTTATATACGACCTCTCTTTTGAGATTGATCATATGATGTATTGATAATATTATTTAAAACCCCTACTTGACGTTTAGTTATAAACCATTCGAGGATCCAGGCCACTTCCACATGATCTAAATCACATCCCTTGTAATAGCTTTGAAGAAGATCATAGATTAGAAAGACTTTTGAAATAAGTTACTATCAGCTAGTTTTAGTTCAATTGTAGAGGAAGAGGATCCATGTTAGGCTCAATATATAAGACTATTTAAGACCCATTATCAAATAGATAAAAACTCTTCCTAGTTAGTGTAGAGTATCGGTCCCTTTTCGGCTAGCCGACGTTCCGTTTTCGGAGTTCGTAACACACAATACAACGAATAATCAGGAATGTAGCTCCAGTAATAAGACAACCCTCTTCATATCTACAATATAGAATCATTCATCCTCTTGCCAAAATTAGAGCACTAGTATAAGCAGTGAATCCCTGTTTACGGGTGAAGAATTGGTAAATGGATTTCAGTTTGCCAGTACGCTGAGTTGCCCCAGTTCGTCCAGAGATCAGAATGCCTTTTCTTTTCTAGATGATGAGAATTCAACGCACAAATCACTCATTGGCCAATCCTACCCATCCCTCTTCATCGCTCTCAATCTCTTTCAATTCGTTATTTGCCACACAAGGGATTGAGATCAGTGTGACGCACGGACTTTTTGAATTTAGTCCATTTAGCATGCTTACTCAGCATTGATATCTAACACGTCCGGGGAAGTGTGTATGCTAGGCCCACGCTAAAATTAGGGCAATTGCGTATGTCGCTGAATCTTCGGCCTTTCTACTGTGCTGGCTTTGAAAACGATTGGTGAATGCAATCTTCAGACTCCGATGCACATAACATCTTGAGGGTGCTCAAGTACCTCCCAAGCTTGCGGTGCGAACCATATCCATTGATTGAGAGGATTTAGTCCTCCACTCATCATGTACTTCCTCGGATTAAAGGAGACTTCGTGTATAGTATAGTAGTTTTTGACGGTCTTTCTACTAAGAACGTAGTGTATATAGCCGGGCGCACATGTATATAAATTGAAAACCCCTCGCAGATTTTCTTCTCTTCTCTGTTCAAAACATACACAATAAAGCATACATACGATTATTTAATATTCAACACCAAGGAAGATGTATATCGAGAGAAGAGATCCAAATGGGATCACTTTTAATTTCATCCTCATGATAATATTATCGTATTGGAACCGAACGATCGTCCTGTGGGACACAAAATCCGACCTCAAGAATAATGTCGGACTGGAACAGGATGATTGGCTGAAGGAATACGAATCTGAAGACACAGAAATTGCTGTTGAGGGCGAACTGGATGATTGGCGCACGGATCACGAACACACAGAAACTGATGTGGAGTGCGAAGTCGAAGAAACCCTTGATAATTCCGAGCCCCCGATCAGTATTCTCGAGAGAATGCCGTATGAAATCAGGCAAATGGTATTTGTCTGTTGCGGGAGGAGCGCCTTCTGCTCAGCCGGTCAAGGTCCGGATCTATTGCAAGCACTTCGAGGGCAACCGCTATCTTACAGGCACGCCTTATCGATATTTGAGCGGTTGAACAGTTATGAACTAGAAGCAAGGCTAAAAAACGATGCATTGGGCGAAGACCATCCAGTTGATGAGATGATTAGGCTCATGACAGTCAATCAAAAAGAACCGAGTCCGTTCCCTCATTTAGATTTGGACCTGACTTTATAGTAAGCTTACTTCTTTCTTCCATAAAGCAGTGATGGAGCTGATCTAAGAACAGTGGCTGTCTACCCGAGAATCAAGAACAGCATGGCGACTTTTGGGCATCGACCCCAGAAACCGTCATGTGTGATTTTGTCAGAGAACTACACAATGCTAGTTGCACTCGAGACGTGAGTCTTTCCTATGAGACGAGATTGCCAACTAAAGTGAGCTCCCTCATTATTACCTGTCAAAATGATCAAGGGGATTGGACATTCCTCAAAAATTTTCTTTCTCTCGTTCCATGTCGTAATCTCACAAGGGTGATAGTTCCATTACCAAATCCCGAAAATTACCTCGGCAGTTCGACTCCTACTGAGTACAGCTATCATGGAGAAGATACTTTCCTTAATAACCGTGCAAAACAGGATTCACTGGCATTAGCGGTTATTGAGAATATTGATAAGAAATTGGGCGTCCAAGGAGTCATTCTAGGCAGGTCGAAGAATAATTTGTCGGGTTTTTGCATGTGGGAAGCTCCTAAAGGACAGCATATGGATTGGAGCCAGGAGCTAATAGAGCCATGGGCTCTACGAGGTGGCTTTGGGAAGGCTTTTCTTGACCAGGAAAACAACTCTTTTGAGCTTAACGAGTGTATACATAATGGAACGTTCTTTATGAGCAATTCATATGAAACAGAGTCAATGAGATGCCTATCGAAGAATGGAGGGATTTTGGTAATTGATTGGTTTTATAAGATAGAGGAGAATGTTGCCCTCCATGGAGTGTATGAAGGTTGTGTAGTGAAAAGAGCAAAAATAATCCAATGTATTCTGAGGGTAGAAGGGCCCGTGGCTCAAGAGTTCGTATGGATTCTGGTGGTGGGAACGGTTTGAACCTGATTGGAACATTCCATTCTTTGAACATCCAGGATTTGTATTAATCTTGAACTTTCTTTCATTTTCAAATGTTGAAGGTCTGCACCACAAGAAAGGTCTTAGAGACTCTTTGATTGTTACAAACTATCACTGAGCTCCTCGGGTTATAGTTGTGGTCAAATACTACCCTCATTTATATTAATGTACTAAAATTATTCGTCGGATTTAAAAAACATTCTCTTTTCAAGCTTTCTAAACATTCGTGTTGTGCGTCTTTTGGTAAAGCATCTGATCTGCTGTCTAGTTAGCCTCAACTAATATTCTAGAAGTTTCTGAGGTGCAAAATGGATGATTACTAATATATATATGACTCAAGACTTTGTTGGTGCGTTACCGCTAAGTTTTGTTTGCCTTTAAAGGGGAGCGATTGAAATGACGAAATTTGTTTTAATTCTAAACCTAATTGAGCATAATCTAATTGAATTATATAAGCAACGCTACCGAGCACCGGGAAGTGGGTGTCACGGCCGCTTACATAATTTAATTCTGCTAGACGAAGATCATACTACCTTACCGATGACTAGTAAAATGCCACGGTGACATTTTTTCAGTCAACCAGATTCGAAATGAATTATTAAAGCTCTGAGTACTGTAATTTCCATTACCCGATTGGCTAGACTAATCAAACTTTGAGAATATCGTCATTGATTATTGGTTCAATTGAAAGTTGAGTAGTTAAATCTGAAAGCTATAGAATTTAATAATTCAAGGTCTAAAAAAAAGTTTTAAATTGTAAATTTTAATAAAAATAATAAAAATAATAATTGATGATATTTATAAATATTTGAATGAAAAAATCTTTTATTATTTTAATTATTCTCTTTGAAAAAAAAATTATTTAAAATAATAATAAAATATTAAATTCTTTATAAAATTTGTTTTCAAAATTAGATTTCAATTATATATAACAATAATTAAATTAAAAAAAAATATAATATTATTAAAAACTAAAATTAAAAATTATAATATTTTATTAAATCTAATATTTGTTACAATTATAGATTTTATATTAATTAATTATATATATTGTAAGAAAATTAAAATTATAAATCAAATACATAAAGATTTTTAATCAATTAATTATATAATCTTTTATAATTAAATATAAAAGAAGAGCTTTTATCTCTTCTTTCTATAATAATCAATCTACTACATATATATATTTGAACTTGTATAATATCAAGTCCAAAACCATTATAAAATTTATTTTCTTTATAAATAATATATTACAATATAATCTAATTTAAATTTCTCTTTCAATTCCCTCTTTATAATATACTATCAGAATTTATATATCTCGACCTATCACTTTTACAATATACAAGATACAATTTGAGTAATTTAATATAGAATTAAAATAGTATAAAAATCAAATATATATAAACCTTATTAAGTTTAAATCTATAATAATTACAGGATTATATATATTGAAATATTAAAGATTCGAAGACTTCTACACTTCAAAGAAATAATAAAGATTCAAAAACTTCATAACTTCTAAATACAAAGATTTATATAACTAGAAAGTATTCTTTATTATAGAACTTGATACTCAAAATCAATCATTTAATATATTCTATTATTAATTATAATTATTAATATTATCTTAAGTTCTTATTTAATATCTAATTATAAATTATTCGAGGATCTAGATCATTTCTATATAATCTAAATCACATCCCTTGTAACAGTATTCCTCTTTTAAATTATTTTTATTTATTAATAACTTTATATAACGACCTGATTGAGGTAGAGGCTGCCTGAGGTTTGTATAATTGATAGTTGTAGGTTAAGATTATTAATCATTGATTATTCATTTGAAAATGAATTCGTTATTAGATCAAATAGAATATAGGTAAACTAATTGATAACTGAGTTGACTACAAAGCTTTTAAATTATAAAACTATTCTGATTATATACTAATGAATGAAAAAGAGTTTTATAAAGCTCAAAAGCTTTAAAAAGCTTTAGAAGCTTTAAAAGCTCTCTAAGCTTTTAAAACTTCTTATTATATGATTGATCCTGAAGCCTTTTCTTTCTTAGAACATTTATCCCAGAAGCTTTCTTTTAGGGATTACAGTCTTAAGATACGATATCTTTTAGAATGATTGTTCTATTACAATCAATTAATTAGAACATTTATCCTATTCTAATATAATTACTTAGAATATTTATCCTAGAAATCCTAAGGTTCTATTTGTAGATGATTAGACTTTCTATAAGCAATGATTAAATTATACCCCTTTTGTAATCAGTATATTGTAAGAAAGTTGGAATTATAGGTCAAATATACAAAGGTTTTAACTAGTTAATTATATAACCTTTTGTAGTTAGATATAAAAGAAGAGTCTTTTGTTTCTTCTTTTCACAATAATCAATCTTCTATATATATATATTTGAATCTATATAATATCAATCTCAAAACTATTGTAAATTCTGTTTTCTTTATAAATGATATATTACAATATAATCTAATTCAGCTTTCTCTTTCAATTCCTTTTTTATAGTATGTTATCAGGATGTATATATTTTGACCTACTATTTTTATAATAATGATCTATATAGAGAAATCAAATTATATCGTTTGCAAAATATACAAAACTAATCTATAAGAATATTATATTGAAAAAGAAAATAAAATTAATTATCTATTGATAAAGAGATAAAATAAACTTTAAAAGAATAAACTTTTCAAAAATAAAAACATCAAATAAAGAATTAAAAAAGTTTGGATTTCTAATTACTTTTATTCTTGTTAATTCATTATATTATAAATAAATGATTTATTATCGATTCATTTATTTATATTTTATATAGAAAGTTTATATTGTGAGAAAGTTGGAATTATAAACCAAATACATAAAGGTTTTAACTAGTCAATTATATAACCTTCTGTAATTAGATATAAAAGAAGAGTCTTTTATCTTTTCTTTTTATAATAATCAATCTTCTATATATATACATTTGAATCTATATAGTATCAACTCCAAAACCATTGTAAACCTTGTTTTATTTATAAGTGATGTATTATAATGTAATTTAATTCAGCTTTCTTTTTCAATTCCCTTTTTATAATATACTATCGGGATATATATATTTCGATTTATTATTTTTACAATGGTAATCTATATAAGGATATCGAATTATATTGTTTGTAAAATATACAAAACCAATTTGTAAGGATACTATATTGAAAAAGAAAATAGAATTAATTGTTTGTTGATAAAAGAATGAAATAGATTTTGAAAAAATGAACTTTTCAAAAATGGGAATATCAAATAAAGAATAAAGAAGATTTGAATTCTTAATTGTTTTTATTCTTGTTAATTCATTATATTACAGATAAGCGATTTATTATCGATCCATTTATTTATATTTTATATGGAAGATTTGTATCAACAAAGTTTTATTTAAAGATTAAATCTTAATAATTTACAGAAGCAGAAAAAATTTGATTTTGAAATAAGCTTGATAAAGTATAATTAATCGGATTGAAAAATCTTATATATTTTATAATTGAACGAAGTATTTCGTTATCTATTTATAAGATAATATTTAGAAAGATTGGATTGTAGTATACAAAATTGCTATCTTTAGTATCGGTATTCAAAAATTTGGGATGTATTCTAAAAAACTCTTAGATGAAGAGTTTAGATCTTGTACAATTCTTTTGAAAGAAAAGATATTTTTAAAGAAATTATTTAAAAACTTTTTCATCTTTTCTGAATTTTATAAAAAGAAAAATATAAGCAATAGAGATTATCGAGAATTTAAGATTGATTTAGATTCAGATATATTTGATATATATCCTTTGATCCAATAATTATATAAATCAAATCTATTATTATTCAAAATTCATTATTACTTTATTATTATAGAAAACTCTAATTAATTTAAAATTCGTTTAAAAGATATTTTTTAAAAATTTTCAAAGGTATTTGTTTTTTATAATTTCAATAAGGAATTCTTTATCAATCTAAAGAGAGATTATATCAAAAGAAATGAAGGTGATCCTAAGAAAAGGAAAGCTAAGAAAGCCAAGAATGATAATGATATAAATCAATTAACAAAAGCCTATATATCAGATCGAAGCATTATGGATCATATATATATATACCCTATCATACCTTATACAGAAAGCTCCAATGCCCCTACCTTCAATGGGAACAATATCTCTGACTTCCTTACAATGTAGAAAGTTCTACAAACTGATTATAATATATTCAATGATGAAATACAAATTCGCTTTCCTTGATATTATAACAAAACTATTTCGATCCAAATAAAGCTTATACCGGAGTACAACCTTATTAGCTACAATTGGAAAAAGAGACTCTATCCAACTCTTCTTCATTGTTTCTATGATTTCGATATTTAACAAATTATTAATACTTGTGATTTCTTGGATCAGTTTGTTGATACTCAACAATCCAAATATAAAATATTTTACAATATAAATTCAATTTTAATCAAAAATTATATTGTTAAATTTGTCCTTTTCGTAAATCAACTCATTAAAAACAAAATAATCATCGAATTTGAAATGGAAAGACTTTTCCTATATAATCTATATATATGAATTGATAAAAAGGTTGTTAAAAGCCTCAAAATTGATCTTAACGATTTTATTACTATGAATTATAAGAAAATGATAAATAAAACCTTCAAATGATATATATCAGAAGATTCTATTACCAGGATTTATGAAAAACTTAAACAATATCAGATTACAATTATATTTGCTATAAAAGAATATATAAAGATATTATTTTCTAAAAAAACTATCTCAAATTTCGATGTTTAAAAAAGGATTGAAAACGAATCAATAAACGAAATAATGGAATTCTTGAACAAACTAAATATAAATCATCTACAAGTTCGAATTGGAAGTATTAGAAATACAAGAAATATTTATACTCTTTTTCAATAATAAATACTTCAAAAAGGAGGGAATATTAAGTATAATAAATTCCTAACTTAGGAAAATTATAATTCTATTTATATAGATATAAATACTATCAATAAAAAAGATTAGTATTACTTTTATTGTTTTAGATAAGTTCCTTATAATAACAATTATAATACTAAACAAAACTATTCTATTATATATAAAGATATTCAAAATAGATTGTATTATTACAATAATTATAAAACCTTCAGATTTGG